GGGGCTCAGCCATGCAGCTCTCCTGAATTCCCGCTGCAGAGAACGCTCCCAAGAGCCTTTTCCAAGACGTCCTGTCTTGAGGTTACTCTTCTTTCCCCTGAGCTACAATGGGATGGCTACAAACTTCATAGAGCCCTTTGCAACACACACACACGTACGCAGCACGGCGTAGGAAGTTGTCATCTTTATTTTTTTTAAGGTTTCCTTTTTTTCCTTTTTTTTTTCTTTTTTTTTTTTAATACAGGTAATGCCATCGGTGAAGATGCTCGCAGCGCAGCGTGGTTGTAAACGCTCTCCAGCTGAGATCTTGAGGATGGAAAGAATTTTACTAGATAAGCTTCACTGGGATCTTTACACAGCAACACCAATGGATTTCCTAAACATTGTAAGCACTACGTTTTGCAAAGTTTAAATAGTTCTTTTTTAAGGAAACAGCTCATTTATCAAATAAGACTAGAAAACATACATGTGCACATACACACACATACACATTCTCCCCAAGGGGCTAGTCTTAGCTATCTGCAAGTCTTTTGAAGAATGTTACAGTGATTTTATTTAAATGTACTAATATTTAAAACTTCTTTTCTTTTCTCAAAAAAGGTACTCCCATTTTTAAAGGACAACTAAAAATGGAGGTTAAAAAGATCCTCATAATGTTATATGCTTTTTTTTTAAATACACACTGCAAAAATATTTCTAACTCTCTCCATTCTATTAATACTGTACATAGAAAGCTGTCAGGGTTTTGCTACATTTCACACACAGGTCTTCTTAAACCGTTTTCCTTTTCATCCTACTAATAATTTACCCCTGTTTTAGGCAATTAGACTCTCCCCTTGTGGCACTTATTTCACATTGCAGTTGCTAAATATTTGATAGAAACAAACTGCATCTTTGAGAAAGGATCATGTGCTAGTAAGGCAAAAATCATGAGCTATGGACACAGCCTGGATCCCTTTTTTAATGTGCAAATTTTAAGCCATCTCGGGCTGCTGATTGTGAGAACTGCCTCCTGTAGGTGCTTGTTTCCTCAGTGAATTCCGAGTATAATCATCATTACGGGGTTTGTATCTGCTGGCCTGACCCGATTCTCCTGGATAGCAATCTGGATAACGTAGAAACTTCAGAAACTGTCGGAAACACTGACCTTTTACATTCATTATAGCTCAAAAAAAGCTCAATGGTTGGCAAGTACAAACACAAAACACAAAATAAAAAGGGGAAAACCCTCTAGGCTTCCTGGTATGAGTCAAAATTAGTCTCCGTTTGGGTTGATAACATATGAAAACATACAAAGTTCACTGACCTCTGCTTTTTTAAAAGCTATGTATATATGTATAGAGTCTTCTGTGCAGTTGCGCGGCGCGGGCGGCGCGCTCAGACGAAGCCTTCGCGCCACGCGGCGCTGCGGACCAGGCAGCTGCAGCACTGCAGCGCCTGCCACCAGCTGCTGCAGCCCAGGGGCTCCACGCTGGCCTTGGTGATCATCACCTTGGAGCTGGAGAGACTCGCGCCCGAGGGGGGTCCTGCTAGCACCGATCTGCTAAGGGAAGCACAGGCAGGGTCAAAGCGGCCTCTGGTCACCAACCTGAGGCCAGGACACGGATAAATTCATGAAAGGCCCGTGGACGCGCTGCTCTAGGGCTGTTGGAGCTCTGCATTTGCTAGTGGGAGGAAAGAGGAAAGAAACCTGTAGCTGGGAGTAACCTGTGGCGAGGGGCAGCTGACCCGGCCTTCCTCCTCCTCCTCCTCCTGGCCGTGCTGCTCTCACGGAGCCTGGGGATCTCGCCCACCTTCCATGCAGCTGTTCAGCATCCAGAGGGCTTTTCCGTGGGGCCGGGATGGACCTGCAGATCCCAGCGCGGCCTCTCCCTGCCCGCTCTGCGCTTACGTGGCGACGGGTGGTTTATCCCCAGCTCACCCGCTCGTGCAGCGACAGCTCCCGCGCCTGCAGCCCCCGGCGCTCTGCACACTCGGGACCCCAGCAGCCCAGCCCCAAGGGCGCCTGCCGCCGCGCTTCCCGGCCGGAGCATTCCCGGAGCGGGGCAGGGGGACCCCCCCCCTGCCCTTCCCGTCGCTCCCGCACCGGCCGCAGCTGTGAGGACCCCATGAAGGCGGCTGGTGCAGGGGGCACTCGGGCGGCCGCACGGGGAGGATGCGGGAGCGAGGCCGGAGCAGCTCCCCGTGTCCTCCCTTGCAGCTGCCGGACAGGGACCATTGGGAACCTTCCCGCTGGGGAGAGGTGGCCGCAGCACCGCGACAGCCCGGCCCACGCGGGTCCCGCTCGCCCTTCCAGAGCACAAGGACTAGACGGAGTTGTCTCCCCCTCTTTCAGCTCCTTCCCAAGCTGCGCCTGCTACCCCCAGTTTTTAACAGTATCCGAGCACTGCGAGCTGGGGAGGGATGCGCAGCCCTGCTCTGGGGGCTCCGTCTGCTCCCGGGAGCAGTGGGAGCCGCTGCCTCCTCCTCCCAGCTGTGATGAAACATGTCAGCACTGGCACCTCATCCTGCTCACGGCCTTGCTCCTGTTGGAGAGATTGCGATTCCCGCAGGGAGATGGAAGAGGAGCTGCCACAGAGCAAGGGGGAGCTCCCAGGGCAGCCGCTGGGCGAAGAAGTTCCAGGCAGGACCAAGACTTTGATTTGATAGTGAAAAGAGCAGAAACCAAAACTTCCAGTTTGCTGTAGGGCCTCACTCTGGAGTTCTGGGCTCCCTCCTGCTCATCCCAGGAAAGGCTCTAGCCACAGTCCCGCAGCCTGGACACACCGGCTGCCCCGGCTCCCTGCGCCTGTCCCTGCAGGGCAGCAGCTCCGCTGCAGAGCCAGCCAGAGCCCACCGGGCCAGGGTGCCAGGGCGCTTTGGAAATCCGCCTTATGCTTTTCTTAAAATAAATAAATAAATAAATCACTTAGAGTTCTAAGTTGTGACTCGCTGCTTTGAGGAGGAGAGCTGCCTTTGGTGCACTTTTAAACTACGAGCTCGGTCTGGGCGCTCTTGGCGCCTCCTGCGAGTGCGGCCAGTGCTGCCAAGGCCCTGTGGGACGCGCAGGCGCCTCCAGATCCACTTTTCATCCCTTCCATCCCTGCACCCGGCTTGGGTGGCTTCGCACCGAGGCCGTGTCCCCACATGTCCCCATGGTGCTGCCACCGAAGCGCCGGCAGCACTCGCTGCCCCTCAGCCCCACGGTGTCCAAGGACAGGAGCGGCGCCCACCAGCACATCCCGGATCCCGGACAGCCCCTCGGCTGCTCCGGCCCCTCAAGGGCAGCGCCCTCAGGGAGCAGGGAAGGGCAGTGGGACAGGGAGGCTCTGCTGGGACACTGGGATAAAGCTGTTATTCCTAACAGCCCCGCACAGCTGGGGGCTGGCTCCACTGCCCCGGATTAAGGCTTGGCTGGGGGAATTGGGCTGCTTTACCTCAGAAGGAAACACAGGTGGAAATCAGCTCGGCAAAGGAAAAGCTCCCTCCGCTCCCCGCCGCGGGCGTCCGCAGGTGCCTACCTGGTCCTTGGGGCGCGCGGCCTCGCTCCGACCTGCGCCCAGGGCAGCCGCGTGTCAGTCCCTAGGAAGCCCCTGAGGGCAGGAGCTGTTTCTGGCCCCCAGTGCCCGCCAGCTCCAGCACTGGGGTGCCCTGGGATGCAGGGCTGCCCCAACACGTATCCTGGGATGCAGGGAGGGCCGCCCTGTGCTGCAGAACTGCCCCAGCGCATATCCCGGGGTGCCTCAGTGCAAATCCCGGCATGCAGAGCTGCCTTGATGCATATCCCAGGATGCAGAACTGCCCCGGTGCATATCCTGGGATGCAGGGCTGCCCTGGTGCATATCCTGGGATGCAGAGATACTCCAGTGCATATCCCGGGATGCAGGGCTGGCCCAGCGCATATCTCAGGATGCAGAGATGCTCCGAGATGCAGGGCTGCTCCAGTGCATATCCCGGGATGCAGGGCTGGCCCAGCGCATATCTCAGGATGCAGAGATGCTCCGAGAAAGGTCCCTGCTCCTATCCCGGGAGACGGATGCAGAGATGCTCCGGTGCCGCAGCAGGGACACCGGAGGCAGCTCCGTTAGCAGTCGCGGGCCCTGGGTGTGTTTTATACCCTGCTCTGCAGAGCACTGGGGTTAACAGAGGGAAGCCAGAATCACAATGAGCATCATGAATGAGAACAGCAAGAGCTTTTAATGTGCAAATTTTGACATAGCGTCCATTTAACAAGTCAGTTTTGCTTTTATTAAAGCCAGCTTTGGTACAAGCAGGTCGTTCCTGCGCTTAGTTTAGTTTGAAACAAAGCTAAAACTCTGAGGCTTCCCTGTTCTCCGTGCAGAGGCAGAGAGGGACACGGAGAGGGCATTTTTTCCCCCCTCTTTTTCCCCTTTCTAGCTGCTATAAGCACAGGCTTTGGGCCAGGCTCTCCGCATCTCCAGCTGGGAGCCGCTTCCCCTCCGTCAGCAGGTTCCACTCTGGGGTCCCCACGCGCAAGGAGGGCTCAGCGGGAGCTCCGGGAAGGGGGCTGCGCTGGGCGTTATCCTTACGGAAACGCCCCGCGCGAAAGGATGGGGGATTTTGGTTAGAGAAGACGTGAGGCTGCCAAGGAGAGAGTCACGAGTTACTGCTCGGAGCTGCCGGGAGGGTGGGTTAAGGCCATTAAAGGGTCTCTAGTCGCATCCCAAGGGTTCAGGGGGCCGGGGCCGCACGGCTCCCGGGTCGGTCACAGTGTTAAACGCTGCACGCGGCTCCCGCCAGGGTCAGTGTCGCGTTAGGTGCCAGCCATGCAGCAGCCTCCATTAGCAGTTTGTCTCTAGGCAAGCGGCTTAGATCTCAAGATCATAAAGAAACCTGATCAAGCACCAGCTTTTCCCCCTCGCCAGGCGCCATGCACCTCAGTCCTGCTCCGCAACCTCTTCCGTGCAACGCATTGCAAGCACCGAGGTGAAAGCACCCATTAATGTCTTCTGCATGGGACGTTTTGGCCTTAATAAATCTTCTAATTAACATATCTTCCTGATGTTACGGAGCATGCGCTGGGAAGACTAAAAAAGCTACAGAAAGAACAGAAGAGAATCAGTCCTTAACTTTGGGTTATTGACATGCAGCGTAGGCAGCACGAACGGCTCCTGCTACGCGTGGGGACAACCTGGGGACGTGTTGGCCTCGACACCATCCCAGGGCGGCTGAGCTCCTGTCTGGAGCTGGTAACCAGGGGGCTGGATCCGGGTTTTAACGGGGATGGAGAGCTGGAAGAGCTGTGGGGCCAAAGGCCATGGCTATGGGCACGGAGAGGTCCCCGTGTCCCACTCGGGACCAGCACAAGCATAGCCCCCATCTCACCCACGCAGCAGCACTTTTCATGGTGGGATCTAGCATTTCTCATCCTTTTGCAAGCACTCCAATAGCTTCCCACACGTGTCAATGAATGGGTGATCTGAGCACAACTCCTGCAGAGAAGCCCTTGCCAAGGAGCCCTGTGCCAGCTGAGCAGCGCCGCTGCCTCCCCGGGAGCCCTCCCGTATGCGCACACTCCTCCTTGCCCTGCCCTCCCAGAACATCTGCCTTTAAAGCCCGGGGAGGAGAGGACTTGCAAACGCTCCAGTCCCCTCACCAGTCCCTTGGGGATGCAAACAGCTCGGAGGGTGGCAACGGGCCGCACATCCGTGAGCGGAGCTCCATAAACCTGAGAAAACTCCATGCAGTCCCAGCAGACACGCACCAAACCAGGGAACTGCTCCGGCAAATGGCTCCCGCTGCTGCTCCCAGGCAATTCCCCCCGGATCGGCGGGAGCTGCTGGCCCGGTGCCCAACCATGGCCAAGGTCCCTGCTCCTATCCCGGGAGACTCCCAGCAGCAGGGCTGGAGCGAGGCCCCCCCAGCACTCAGCAATGGGAGCCGCGAGGGGCCAGCGGGCACCCACCGCCAATGAAGGACACCACAACAAAAACTCAAAAGAAACGTGAGATTTAATAAAAGAAAAAAAAAAAAACATACAAAGTGAGTGGAAAGAACTGAAAGTGGAACAAAAAGAGAAAACAACCCAACAGCAACCCCAGCACGTTGCAGGTGGACCGGCCGCGCGCCCGCACCAGTCCCAGCCCTCCAAAACACACTGCAACAGCAAGCAGACAATGTACACGGTGGTAAATGTTCACATAATTCCAAAAAATAATAATATGGACAGCTTTTCCTATTAATACAAACCTTTCAGACACACGCAACACGGCTGGGACCAAACGGCTGCAGTATCTGGGGGGTTTCTCTTTTGCTGCTTCTAGCCTAACGGACTAAAAGTCTTCAGACTGCTGAGATCAGCATCACGACGTGTTCGCAACTTGTTAAATAACAATGATACACAACTGCCCTATATACCACCTATTTAATCTCATCTTGGTCCAAAAAGGAAAAAAAAAAATCCACAAGTACTAGAGAAATTAAAAAGTGACAACAAAACCCTCCATCCTGTTGGGAAAATTACGATGTTAACTGCTCTAAGGAGTGGAGTGGCTGTAATGAAGTTAAGGTCATCAAAATATCTACATGGAAAAGGTTGTCCAGCATAACAAAGTTAATGTGTATATAATAATCACTAAAATAGTTACATTCTGAATGTCTTCATCAGAAATGGCTGGAAATTGCTCCACAAACCTGTGGATTTTGAAGCTCTCACTCTTTCACTGCTCTCATTGGGCAGAATTCCCGCTGTTCTAGTGGGGAGAAAGGAAAGTCCCCGCGAGGCCACTCCGGAGGGGCCGTTTGCAGGGACGGCAGCGCGAGGGCTCCCTGCAGCAGCCGAGCAGTGCTGCTCGCTGACACTGTTAGTGCACACAGCATTCTCCATGAGCAAGAACCCAAATTCTGCTCCTCCTTTGCCACCCACGCGAGCTCCCGTTCCCTGGGAATCTGCGCCGTCTCCTGGGTGCAACAAGAGCCCGTGCTCCTTGCACGCTTCTCCTAGGAGAGCACTCGAACCTCGTCACAACTGACGGGTGCTCTTCATACTATGTCTAGCTTGGAGGCACAGCCTTAAAAATTAAGTGTTCAGCTTCCTGCAGGCTCTTAAGTGAGCGTAATTTTTTCACTCTTAAAGAATGGCCTGTTCCAAAATGTACCTGTGAAGTTTCCATGAGGTTCTCTCGTGCAAGCTCAAGCAACACTGACATGATTTTCAGCATATCCACGGAAAAGGCCAAAGTCCATATGAAAGCAGTTCAACACCTGAGTATATATTAAAAAAAAAAGGAAAAAGCGCGAGCTGCTGTGCCTGGATATGCGAGTTACAGACCCTCATCTTACGCTCCAGCACAACACGGCCTTCGGACAGACCTGGAAAGGCTCAGATGCAAAGCTGTGCACCTCTATTTGAAAGTCAAATAATAAGGAATTTGCTAACATATTATCTTAAAGACTTTTTCTTTTTTAAAAAAGGGGTCCTATAACATTAATAAGTCTATAAAAATGCACACACTCACAACTAACACTTAGCCAGCCAGTGTTTTTATAAACTCTGTACCCACTACATGGGTGCTAATATATTTGCTTTCTTTTAGCCCATTAGCTGATGGAATTGAGTCTAACTATTTTTCCTTAATAAAATAGCTAGTGAGGCCCTAGCCAGTTATTTTCCTGCCTCACCACAGAATGGTTCGAGTGGAAAAAGTAATATTGAACCTAATGATTCCTGTGGGCTTAGCAGCCCAGGGAAACACGTCTCTGCAGGACAGACATGTTAAAGAAAATGCCTTTTAAGAGCAATATAGGGCATCAGCATAAATATCAGCATAAATATTGTGCATAGTTCTCAATATCAGGGTTCTCCTTGGTAGGCATGTGTTTACAGATGCCTTTTTTTGCTTTGAATAACCTAGAACTACAGGTGAGCAATTAAATAGTTCCTGCACAACGGCAAAGCGCGCTGCAAAGGGACAAGCGCAACTCTGCCGATCCTGCAAGCCCTGCACATACAGCAACAAGCTCTGAAGAAATCCTTCCTAATTAAGTGTTCTATTTAGCTGTAAAGAAATAAATCAAAACATTGTCACATAAGTTTTATTAACCACTCTCTCTCTATATATATATATTATACATGACATAGCAAGTGTTTAGGAAAATCTGGGATTAAAATATGAAATTGCTGGAATGCCTATTACACCATGATTCCCAGGGCAGGGTTTCTAAGCACGGGGTTTTTTCACCCCTTCTGAGTTTCTCTGAATCAGTAATTGTGTTTGGTAACTGCCTCGGCCGTGCTCGCCAGGGCTGCGTGTGCAGGAGCGGGGCCAGGGACGCAGCCAGAGCGAGTCCCACGCGGCCACCTCGGCCAGCACAAAGCCCCTGGGCTGCGAGGACAGAGGCGGCGGGCAGGGGGTGCCCATGCAGGGACGGGCACAGTACCCGAGCTGCTTAATCCCTAGGTTTAGGGTAGGCCTTCTCCTCACTCTGGGGGTTAGTTGACTTTGTTTAAACAAAAAAGAAAAACAAACAAAAAAAGAAGTTACACAGTGAGTTTGCTTCCTTAAGAGCTCCTGCCACTGCGGAAGATGCTCAGTTTCTCTTTCACTTTGGTCCACTCACACACTGCTATGATAGAGGGTCGCAAGCTGGGCACGCGAGCAACTTAACACCTGAAAGTACCAAGTCCGCTCTTGGCCTGAAAGTCTGTGTGTGATTAACTGAAAGAAACAGAACAAAAAGGCATGGGTTAAAGTTATGAAAAAAATAAACAAAAAGCAAAATGAAGTGAGACATGTTACAGGAGAAGCCACACACAGAATGTGCCTGCAGAGCCCCTGCCTCAGGCCACCCTGGGGACAGGCGACATCTCCCCCTCCGCTCCTGCCATTTGCCCGTCTCCTGTCCTGCTCTTATTTATTCTAGCAGCTTTTTAAACAATCCCTATGCTGGAACATAAGAGGTTCAACAGTTTTCTTTCAAAATCAGAACATGAAAAATTAACCCCCCAACAAAACCACTCCAATTGCCCCTATCTTTCCTCCCGTTGCCTGTGCTTCCATCCCTGGCACTAGGATGCAGGTGGTCCCCGCACTCCCGCATCTGGGGGCATCCCTGGCACTCCCTGATCTCTCCCAGAGGAAAAGGGCTCTGGAAAGATGATCCACCAGACACGCAAGGGAAGAGGAGCCTTGCGGGAGCTTGGGGTCAGGACTTCACTCATCCTGCTGGAGCAGAGGCCTTTGCCCGTCGCGGTGTTTGTGCCGGCTGCAGCTCTATTTCCTTTCTGCGTCTCCGCGGCCAACAG